CCCCCGCCTGTTGTTGCAACAAAGTCCACGCTTTTGAAGCGGCCCTACAAGTAGAACAACCCCCCTTTGTGGTGGACGGCCCAATGGTCGCAAAGTAGCCGCTGACGATTAGGCTCGCATCCCGACATGTGTTCGCTCCTGGATGTCTCGTCGAACGTTGCGGTGGTGTTGCGCCCGCACAGGGGCTGTTCGAGGCTCCGAGAAGGGACGGAGCGACCACGAACGGGGCGGTGCTGGTGTCCGCAGAAAGATCACGCTCGCGAGGCACATTCTCCGGTCTCGCCCCGCATCTACGGAGGTCCCGCCCTTCGAGAGTTTCAAGTGCCCGAAGGAGGGTTGCGGCAATGTACACAAGCTCGGGGACTGGTGGTTCTTCGACATCCTCCAGAAGAAGTACGTGGGGCCCAGGAGTCAACCCAGGAGCGGTCATTCAGGGGCGGAGATGGTACCGTGTTCAGACGCGGAGGGGAAGGAGGTGTGCGGCGACAATGATTTGAAGACGTTACCGTTCGTCGGGAACGGCAGGGCCTCTGAGGTGGTGATGAACAACCAGGACGCATACGCGGTGTGGCTGACGGAGTATGCGGTGTGGTTGAAGAAGTAGATGAGGTAACCGCAGTATGGTTCCGAGTCAGATTCCGACGTCGACTACGACGACGCCCAGACCTACTACGGCGAGGGCTCTGTGAGGCATGAAGGAGCACCGGTGAGCCTGGTCGACAGGTGCCACCAGATCATGCGTGATCCTCCTGATTTGGCGTGAGGGAGCTTTGGGTACCTTGGTCGAGAGTTGAAAACGACGGGCTGTGTACACTTTGTGGTGGCGTTAGAGAGACGGGGCTAGAAAGAAACCGCCCGCAGACTTCCAGAGTAGACGAGTAGAGATAATCCAGTGCGGTCAGTTAGGGATCGGATTGCGTCGTGCAAATTGAATTCGAAGCGTTGTGTCACGTGGCGACGGATTTCATTCAGGCATTAGCGATGGCTTCTATTCGAGCAGGCACGATCATCCTCGTGTGACATACAGTATATATTGGTTGCTGCCAGTGTCGTGTTGCTGTAGAATCACCCAACCAATTGGTCATTTGTGTTCCATAGGTGGCGTAGATAGCGACAGAGAAAATGAGTTTTTTCGTGTCCCATCATCATTTATTCCGTTGCGTAGATTTTTGGTCGGTAGATGCAGTGTTGAAAATTCAGTGCGTACCGGGTTTTTCCTTGAGGGGTTTTGCTCGGACGCCGGGTTTCCCCTCCATATGTTACCATNGTGTCACGCAGACTGGTAAGATAACCGTTTGATAGGGGGCACCGCGATGATTCACGGGGCCCCTCCTTGCTGTGGGAGCCGCTCTTTGAGCACTCCCTCTTTCGTCCGTGTGAAGGACGGTCGTCTACCTCCCGTGAAGTTAATACATCACCAAAACAGTCTCACCCGATAAATAAGTGGCGTAGGCCGCAAACAGGAGGAGGAGGAGGAGCGACAGAGATCCGACCAGGCGAGCAGTGATATACATACGAGGCATACCCCTGGGTCTCGGTGGGAAACTCTCTAGGATGTTCGTTGGATTGTTTCATCACAGATGTGATCTTCACGTGCTAACAAGTTCCGAGCAATTCTGTTTTGATTATCCGGGCGGCGGGAGACAGACAGGAACAAGCCAGCTTGCCACATCTCACGATCTCGAGGGGCCGGGGAATACCTTTTTGAGAGAGAGGGCGGGGGGTTGGGAAAGAAACAACTGGTGGTTTGTGTTTATACTTTTATCGTACGATACGTGCGAATTAGCAACGATTCCCCCGCCGAATCCTACAACACGCCTCGGATCGGGTTTCCATTTCGACGCTTCTTGAAATGAGATCACCGCCACCTCCTTCCCCCCTTCGCCACAACCCTCCCTACCCTCTCCTTTTTATTTAGTCTCCTGCTTCACCAATGGTACGTTTTATGTGTCACTAGTGGGATTAAATAGAACTACCGAACATGAAAACAACGGTTTGTTCCGGTTATACGTTCGATCTAGTAGCAGTACATCGATGTCGTACTGGTCTAAGTCGTTTGGTTTTCGCGTCATGATCATTCGCTGCGCCCCACGTGTTTCATATAGCCACCTCTTTCTGACACAACAGCCCTGCGCGTCGAAGGAGAAGAGGAAGAAAATAAGACACGACTACAGGTCCGTTCTCCCCGAGTATGAGGAGATGACGACTGAGCGTCTTTTCGCAGAGTGCCACGTGGCTACTGGCAGCTTCTTCATCGACCACAATCGTTTCGCGCAGGAGGGCGAGAGGTTCAACGATGTGACGATCGGAGGGAAGCCTGTTTGGCAAAAAAAACCTAGCGGCCACTCGACTCTACACAACAGCATCGCCATCGCGGAACACTTCCCTTCGCTGGCACCGTTGTTGATACCACTGGAAGCATTGTGCAAGCCGAGGCCAGGCACTGCACGCCGGTTCAAGAAGCAAAGAGCACAGCAGTACACCAAGTCCGGGCGGCGACATCGCGACGGCAAGAATGCGGAATGGCGGATGTGTATCACCGTTCACGACCCGGCTGCGCTGTCGTTGTTCAAGGAACTGGAGATAGGGGTGGCGGACGCCAGCAAAGTCAAAGGTGGCAACACCGTAAACCCGTTCCAGGCTTAACCAGACGGTACACCGGACGTCACGCGGTTCGACTGTCCATCGGCATCCTTGCACATCATGGATACCGTGGGTACCGGCTACCACTCTCACGCGCACCACCAGGCGAAGATCGACACGAGCCTCCTTGCAGAACATGGAGCGGCTACGACGTTCGTCATTGACATGGACCCGATCAACCCTGGCATGTTCACTTAAGACGTCGACGCGATCGCGATGGGTACTGCGGGCGCGCTCGAGGCGAACGCAGGCTGCGAGTCGGCGCCCGTCCCTCCCCCGTACCCAGAACAGATCGGCGTGTCCTCTGGGTCGCAGCAGACAAGTGACTGGCACAAGCTTCAGAAGCAGGAGAACCTGGAGTGCTACACCGATGACCAGCGAGCGAAAGGTGAGTGAAAAACGTAGGAAAAACTCCAAGCCCGTGGTTTTCATTGGGTTGTTGTTGTTGTTGTTGTTGTTGTTGTTGTGCGTCGGTACAGGACTGTCGGTGTGTGTGTGCTCATCCACATCCAAAACAACAGTAGCAGCCGCCCGCCTCCACCGCCGCGGAAGCAGCAGCAGCAGCAGCGACAGCAGCAGCAGCAGCAGCAGCAGCAGCAGCAGCAGCAGCAGCAGCAGCAGCAAGGAAGAGGAGTACGGTCGAACGGTTTTGCGCGGATACCCATGCTGACCTCCATGCCTGCTGCAGGTCGAACTCTTTTCACCCACCAAACGCATGGATTATTCGCCATCCGCAGCTCTCGTGAAGAAATCGAGGAAAGGGCGCGAAGTCTATGATAAGCCCTTGCGGCAAAAAAAACAATAATGACTGGCTATCTGGCTATCCAGACGACATCATCACAAACACGACGATATACAAGGGTTGCTTACAATCCAGGTCAGGGGGGGGGGAGCAACGGTGCTCCCACGATCCAACCGCACCAAGGTGTCCCACGAATTCATCCATACAAGAGAATCAAATCGAGCTGCAAATCACATTTACATACGCCGCTCACCAACAACCCTGCCTCCAGCCCGGCCATGTTCTCAAGAAACGCACCACCGCTGAAAAACACACAACACTATAACTGTACGACATCTGCACTCGAGTCACACACATTCTAGCCACAGGAAAGCCTCAACACTTGGCGACGGGCGAACTTCCTCCACAAAGCGCGGTACGGTAGAGTATGACCGTCTTCTCCACTTCGCCCCTTGCACTGTGTATCATGCTTGCCCCCAATCCGCCACGCGTCTCGCGCCCCGTGATCGATTTCGATCTGTCACTGTCAAATGCGGGCAACAGAACGCGTCTCGCCCTCACCCGCCGACAGGCAGCCACTGCTGTAGGAAATAACACTGCGGCCTCTCATGAGATAATCAGAACGATCCATGTCTCGAGGAGAATAACTATGCGCGACGATGGAACCGCCTCCGCGCGATTGATAAGTTAATGAGGAAATAGAACAGGGAGGGGAGACGCAGGTCCTATTCCCTAGCCCTGACCCAACTTCCCCGATTGAGCACTTCATCCAACATGTTTGCGTAACACAAACGCCTGCGAAAAAATTCTGCGACGACGAGACCCCCCCCCCCCC